AGCATAATTTGTATATAAATAAATAAATTTAAATATATTAAACTCAATAAATTACGAAATATTACATGACTGAAAGTCTTAAATAAATATTATAAATAAATTGACGCCATAAATTTTCGTAAACTATGTTAATCTACCTATAAACTTTCAAAATTCTTGTATTATCATAAATTTTATAGAATATTACAGCGTAATATTATGAAATACTACGCCGTAAACTTTCAAAATTTTTGTATTTTCATAAGTTCTACATAATATTACATCGTAATGTTACGAAATACTACGCTGTAAACTTTTGAAATTCTTGTATTATGTAAGTTTTACAATATTACACTGTAATATTATGAAGTACTACACTGTAAATTTTCGTATAGTTTACATTCTATAATATTACATAGTATTATGTCATAATATTATAGAATATTACGAATATACAATTTAGTAATCTTACAGCAGCCTTGTAAGTTTTCATAATATTACAAAATGTAAGTTTACGCAATATTACGTTCTATTAAATTTACTGATATATGATGAACATGAAAGGCCGGATGTAGTAGAATATAGAAAAGAATGGTTAGAAAGAATGTTTACATATAAAAAATGTATGAAAGAATTTGATGGTGATATACTAACATTGTATTGGAATCTAACCTTAAACTGGAAGAAAAAGAACTTATCCAAATTATACATAATGAATGCCACTTCTATATAAATGATGAATAATAAAAGATTTGAATTAGAAAAGAAGAAGATATTTTATGTTCAAAACATTTGGGACGTTTTATAATGGTTTTAGATATTTTTTGTGTGTGTTATGGACTATTATAACTATCTGATAAACAATTACAGGAAAACCTGCATATTAAAGATAAGAATGCTTATATCCTTCATTCTGTACAAGCAGATGGATATTGGATCTCAGAGCATATGATAGAGTAGGTTTGATTTTTTTAAAAAGAAAAGTAATGAAAAAGAAATTTTTAAATCTTATTTTATTTTTTTACAATACAGCTTATACAAAAAGCAGTTCTGATATTTGAAATATTGCATTCCAGATGCATTGGCATTTTTTGTTTTAGTCAGTCAACTAACCATAATGCTATAGCAGAGAACGTACTAATCGTAACAAAAATGAATTTATAACTTGAAGGAATACAACCTAGAATGCATGATGAGTGATATATCAATGAATCTAGTAATAAACATATACAATCGATGGTATTTTCAAATGATTATTCAGTAAAAAAACTAAGAGGAAAACCTAAGGGAATCAAAAAAATGCTTAAGGAATGTAATCTTTGGCCTATGGAGAGGATTAATTTAATATGCAAAAAAAATTTGGAAAGAATGCTGATAATAACCTAACAAAACTGAACTGCTATATACAACAAATCATATCTTAACAACCTGACTTTCTTGAATAACTGTTAGCATTAGAAGAGATTATTGTTAAATTAGGGCATATTTTTAAATGATATCTAAAGTTTCATTTTGAATGTAATTTTATAGAGTGATACTGAGGCTTTGTGAAATAAGAAACTAGAGTATCATATAACTACAACTAGAACTTGTTCTCAAAACTTTTAACAATGTTTGTATTATGACCATTCACAAATTCACATAAAAATCATGGAGATACATGAATGTATATAACAGAGGGCTGGAGGGTAGGACTGCTAAATAGGCTATTAATAAGTATAAGTCACACTACCAACTATCTAAAAACATTGAAAAAATAATAGACGATTAGTAAGATAATAGTATTATAATAAAGAAATTAAAACAAGTTTAATATTTAGCTTTTAGATCATTCTTTTCAGCTTTGCTCTTTCTCAATATTTCTAATCTTTCTAACTGAAGACTAGCTTTACTTTTAAAAGTATGTTTTTAAAGTAATTTAAAGTTCATTTATATATCATACATATTTCCAAAGGTAGTTTTGTTTTGAAATAAAATGAAAAACTCAAATGACTAAGCATGACGATTTCTAAATTAACCACATTTGGTTATACAAAATACTGATTTTTCATTGGTTATGTTTTGGTCACGTGATAAAGGATCGTTGCAAAAAAAAATTTGAAACAATTGTTGAGTTAAGACTTCCGGAATCATAGCAACAATTTTTAACATTAACAACCACTCTAATCTCATCTACGACAAATTCCATAAATGAATTGTCCTCACAACCTTTAATACTATTATCAACATCAGCCCCTCCAAATATAGTAAGGAAGAAGGAAATACTGTTTCTTCAGTAACTAGTGTAAATGTGAGCATCTGTGACAGAAAGTAATAATAGATCATAGTGATTTTGCGATGTGCTGGAAAATTATAATTATTTTATTTTTATAACCTTTTTTATATATAATTTATATATATATTTCTTTGTATAAAAAAAACTAATTTTGTATTTATGAAAAAAAAATTTTTTTTAATCAATTTAACAACCAATTGCAAATAAACCAATAAATATTAAGTTTGTGTGAATAGATTGTAATAATAATAACATTCAATTTTTTTATTTGATTGATCTCATTTGAAAAAAATGATAGTAAGTTAACCGAAATTCCATTACAACTCAATAATACCCATGCTAATTATTGATTTTACAATTTCAATAGTAATGATAAACAAAAAATGCGATTAAACTTTATAAGGGTATTCAACCAAGTCTCCATCTTCATTACAATAATCATATGGAATGTTAAAATATCGAAATAATACTCCCAATACAAAAACTTCATTTTTTGTAAAGCTTCTTGAATCGATGACAATGTCTTTTTCATGACCATGAAAATTTTTTGAAGCGGCATGATATAATCCACCTAAACTTCTTCGGACATCATTATATCGAAGGGAGTTTGCTTCACAGGCATGAGTTAATTCTTTAATGAATTTCTCATTATGTGACAAAATCTTCAATGCCTTGTCATTTGGTTCAGAAAACGAGCGTTTTTTAATTGATAATGGTAAAATCTATTATCATAAAAAAAAAAAATCAATAAGATTCAAAAATCAGATAACAAAAAATAGACAAATAAAAAGTATTACCTGTGAGCGGATGAATTCTAACACCCCAAGGACATTAATCAAATTCTTTATTTGTAGTAATTTCTGCGTGCGACTTAACAAATCTCTTTGAATTTCGCAATTTTGTTTCACCAAAACCATCTTTTCTTCCACTCTTTCTATTTCCTTCCTATTATATAAATTAATAAATTTTTCGTCTATTTTCTTCAAGATTTCTTCTTGTAAAGAAATGATGTCATGTCTATCAGATTTTTTAACCATGCTTTTTTCGATGGTTTTTGAACGCGAGAAGTTTCGCGCCAACTGAAATGACAATTGGTACAATATTGGTACAATTGGTGCATAATAGCTTCGAAATTAATTAATTATACACAAATGAGATTAGCTTACCAAAGGTGCTCTTCTTAACGGAAGTCTTGCGAAAAGGAGATTATTCATCTTGTAAATATTAAGCTTATACCAGAAGGTTATTTAAGAAAATGAAAATTTTCGACACGTTGGTAGGTAAAGAATTAGTTTATTACTTTTATTCAAGTTGACAGAATTAAGGAGGAATGAAAAAAAAAAAGTTAAAAAAAAATAGTTTGATGAATTAAATATTTGACTAGAAGTTTGCGGAGAATTACTGAATTGATGTTAATTTTTTAATGACTCATTCGGCGCCTTACGGGAAACCAAAGTGTTTGGGTTCAACATCTCTATTAAGAATGAGTTTGAAAGTACAGTTGAAAAACCACCGGACACTTAAGAATTAAAAAACAAAATCGAATAAAAACGTTCTTTCAAATTAAAGTGAACTCGGAGCGTTTTATTGATTCTTTATTGTTATACCGTAAAAAATATTTGCAAAGTTGCAATGAATCAAAGAAAAATTCAAATAAAAAATTTTTATTAGCTAATATACACTCCCTACATACATCACAATACAGCATAAAAAATCGCGAGCAAATCTTTATTATAAGTGATAATAAATAAAAAAAAATGACAGAGATTGAAAGCTAATTATATGATGCTATCAATTATTATCACCATCGCTATTAATACGACTGCTACCGTTACTGCCTCTACTTGTAAAAACTAAATGTCTTTTTCTCTCACTTTCGATCCATGGAATATTGGTTTGATTTATTGGTCTGATTGATTGAACTTGAAAGATTTTTATTTCTTACAAGAACAGCTCGCGATGGTCCTTTTATATTTAAGCTTATTCAGCAGACGACTGCAAAAAAATATAACTTCCTGGATCAACGCTGATAACCTATTGTCTAATAATTTGCTGTGCATTGCTCTCGAGCTATCAAAAAATGTTAGACATAGGAATAAATCTTTATTGGCCCCACCTTTTCGCATAAATGCACAATATCAGAAAATTATTTTGCAAAATTTGTGCGTCCGTTACGCAGACGAAACTTCGTAAAAAGTTAATCATTCTTATTTTAATTTGATGTACACGAAAAGTATATTGTATCAAGAATCAATGTTGAAATTGAATCAACCATAAAAAAACTAGAAATTTAATTCTGACATGTCATTAGAATGTTATGAACCATTTGTTTAGTTAAAATTCTCCTGGATTCTCTCTCACAAAAACTTCTGTTGCGGGAGACGAGAAGATGACGATTCTATTTTCCGGGTTATATACGTTGTTGACGAGCTCGATGAAATCATTAAAATTGATTTTTTCATTTTTCACCAACTCCTGGACGATGACGTTGCCAATGACACGATTTTTATCGCATGAGCCCGGTGAAAGTTGTGATAGACGTTACTGAGCAAAATTTTACGAACCTCTAAAAAGCAAAATATTAAGTGTGATGAGAACGTTCACACAACGATCATGCAAAAATACCATCACCATTGTCCAGGTAATAAATGCTCTCTCACCTTCGAATGTCTCGCGTCTATTTATAATATTTAGCAAAGAAGCCATCAGTAAGGAACGAGATACAGACAAATTATATCATACAATACTAACGCATCATTGCTGGTCAGAATAAAGTTTTGTGATGTCCAGCATCATGTTCACATTTTTCTGGGCCAGCTTACTTATGTTGTCAAAGATTAATACTGTAGGTGTGCCATTATTTGCCTTGTATTTTCTAGTTCCTCTTTCGAAGGCATCCAGGACACGAGAAAACTCGGACTTTGAGTTATAATACCAAAAGTGAGTGCAGAGCAAACACCAGTGCTACTTCTTTATAATAACCTTACCAGACTCTCTTTTGCCTAGAATCTTCCGCTTCAATAATTCAGTGAAAGACACATAAATCTGAAAGATTATAAATGAAGTGATCCATCCAATACGGGGGGGGGGTATTTGAAATCTCTTTTAAATGATAATCTTTTTTTTTATTCTTTTCATATTCTTTTTTTCGTTAATTTTTTAAACGAATTTTTTTTTTTTAATAATTCAAATAAATTATGAGTTGTTTCAGTCGAGCTTCATAAGCAGTACTACCTATTAGAGATAAAAATGAACAAGTGAGTAGGGTAGTGAATAGAACCTATGTTAATAAGATATGTATATTTTGTTTTTTTTATTATTTCATTTTAAAAAAACTATTTATGGGAAAATACATGGAGCTTTGTATCCTATGTTTTCTCAGTG